CTTATTTTAAACAATTTTTATCATTTAGTTTCTTTTTATACGTGAAAAACAGCATAACACTGATCCTGGTGTTAGCTCAGGCAGACCATGAAGGCCAACTCAGCTGTGGCAAATCAGCTGACCTCGGTGTCAGCCCCCATCAGCTGATGGCGCTGCTAATACCCTTTAAAGCATCTAATTGGCTGTCTTATACAGGGCACGCTATTTAAGCGGCTTGTGGAGGCGGGTTGTGGTTTCTGGGCTCAGTCGCAGGAAGCAGAGGTAGAGCAGTGTGTCTGATGAGGAGGGTGGGACGCCTGCTGGGGACGTCTAATTAACCCCTCCCCCGACAGCATGGAGATTGTAGCAGATGAGAGACAGGAGATGCTCAGCGGTGAGTCTGAGAGCCGGTGCAGCACAGCAGGACACAGAGAGTCAGAGACTGTGTGAAAAGTAATGTTTGAATAAAACTGTGAAACGAACTGTGGAGAGCTCGCAGCAGCAGCCGGTACACTGCTTTAACCTGCCCACAGTTACTACACATCTGCAAGCCGCTTTGCAACCATACCCACACCTCCTTTTTCATGCTGCATCTGTGACTGTCATAACAGCCGCTGATGTCTGCTCACATGTGCTGGATGTCTTTCTGTTGCTCTGCAGATTTCAGCAGTAAAGGATCCAGAACAGACCCATTTCACCAAATGCACCCTCATTATCAGGGGCTGTCTTCTTGTTGGCTCTCCAGTGCAGCTGTCGATACGATCATTGCCATTATAGCAGACCGTGACAGACTGGTGTTCCACTTCTGCCCATCTACGAGTCTGAACTGGCTAAGCAGAAGGAAATGGATTGATGGAAAACATCAAACGCCTTTTCACTACACTGGTATTGTTTGAAATATGTTTAACAAGCAAACACGTTACCACAGTCAGATGAAGTCCAGGTCGCATCAACAATAAACTGGCACAAATAAAAATATGATTATTTTTTGGTCAACTGTATATGAAACCATATTTATTCATGACCTAGAATCATAACACACGAGTTACACTTGTGTTTTTAGGTGTGAAGACAGGCGCACACTGGATTTCTGACCACAGCGAAACAGTCAAACGCTGTTTTGATCAAACCTTTTTTCTCATTTACTTTACAATGAAGGGCTTCAGGAGCTGCAGCGTGGAAGACTAAACTATCTGTAAATGCCTGCGCAGTAACAGGACCCTCTTTCTTTATTTGTTGGCTCTAAACTGCTATCAGTCACTGTTTTGTCCTGTGCTCCTCCTGAAAAACACCTAGAATCTATAATCATGTGCTTGTTGTGAGCTGTTAGCTGCTGCAAGACGAGTCTGGTTTAATTCTCCTAACTGCAAAGAGCAGACTGTTCTGGGAGAATCTGCACAGAATCAGTCCATTATTCTGAATAAACTCTCTGTAATCAGTCTTTCAGCTACTGTTGGTGTTTCCTCTGTACCTCACAGACAAGAAAAAGGGAACAGCTGCTGTAAAGTTCGACTCTATTCAAATGTTCAGACAGATATCCTCAGAGGCTTCGGTGTGCTGCAGAACTGAGAGTACAGCTAAAAACGCTGCGTTTCAAGTTTAAAGACACATATCTGGTTTGATTTGAATTCAACAACGTGAAAAACACAAAGATACGGCTGCATCACAACATGTTTAACCAGAAAAAAGACAAACAGCATTTCTGCTTGTACGGACAACGTTTTAGAAGACTTTAATTTCTGAACTAT